AACAGCCAAACTGAGACTGGGCGCGCACTCGATCAGCCAAACTGAGACTGGGCGAGCACTCTGTCAGCCAAAATAAAACTGGGCGCGCACTCAAACAACCAAACTGGGGCTGGRCGCGCACTCAARCAGCCAAACTGAGGCTGGGCCGCACTCAAAACAGCCAAACTGGGGCTGGGYGCGCAYTTAAACAACCAAACTGAGGCTGGGCGCGCACTCAAACAGCCAAACTGAGGCTGGGCGCGCACTCAAGTAGCCAAACTGAGGCTGGGCGCGCACTCAATCGACTTGMTGGCTTAGAAACATCAAAAGCGGTGTACACAGATTGAGTGCTTCATGGGCACGCAAACTTCTTCAATGTCTACAGATTGGGTGCGCAGTCGCACTGACTCRAGTTYATCAAAGCTGAGTTTACRAATGAAGTGCACACTGCTGTACCGTCCCAAGATCATCAATGCAGTTTTCTCTGATAAGGGCGCAGTGTCACACTCAAGTCTGGGTGCGCATAGTCGCAATACATCAAAAGAGGCTTCCTCAAATAAGGGYGCAGTGTCACACTYGAGTCTGAGTGTGCACARTCGCAATTCCTCAAAAGCAGCTTTCTYAAATGAGGGGCGCAGTGTCACACTCAAGTCAAAATGCGCACAGTCGCAGTTACCCGGAGTGCTTAAATTCAACGTGCTCAAAAGGAAAATGGCACGCTTAGTTTGAGTGCTTGCTAATATAGTAAGTCGATATGCTCAACTGACGACTCGGTCAATGCTCAATCAGTGTGCCCGTTGACACATTAACCCAAAATACTTAGAGTGTCTGTTGGCATAAAAGTTCGAAATGCTCCATTTGAGTGCCTGCTGGCACAGTCATTCATGATACTCAATCTGAGTGCCTGGTGACACAATAAATCAGCAATGATACTCAGTCTGAGTGCCTGTTGGCATGGTAAATTGCAATGGTACTCAATCTGAGTGCCTGATGGCGCAATGATACTCAATCTCAGTGCCTGCTGGCACAATAAATCGGCAATGATACTCAGTCTGAGTGCCTGTTGGGAGGGTAAATCGCAATGATACTCAATCCGAGTGCCTGCTGGCACGGTAAATCGCAATGGTACTCAATCTGAGTGCATGCTGGCACAATAAATCGGCAATAATACTCAGTCTGAGTGCCTGCTCGCACGGTAAATCGTAATGATACTCAATCCGAGTGCCTGTTGGCACGGTAAATGAGTGCCTGCTGGCGCAATTATACTCGATCTGAGTGCCTGTTGGCACAATAAATCGGCAATGATACTCAGTCTGAGTGCCTTCTGACACGGTAAATCGTAATGATACTCAATCTCAGTGCCTGCTGGCACAATAAATCACAATGATACTCAATCTGAGTGTCTGCTGGCACAATAAATCGGCTCACTCAGTTCGAGTGTTTGCGGGCACGGTAAATCGACATGCTCAGTTCGGGTGCTCAGACATGCAGCATCCTTGATGCTCTTTGGCACGGTGCGCTCACATGTAAAGTGACCTTCATACTCATTGGCGCGGTGCGCTCAGATATACAGATACTCATTGGCGCGGTGCGCTCAGACGTACAGTGATCTTGATACTCATTGGCGCGGTGCGCTCAGATATACAGATACTCATTGGCGCGGTGCGCTCAGACGTACAACAATCTTGTGATCTCTGGCGCGGCGCACAGGCATACAGTAACGCTTGTGTTCTCTGGCGCGGCGCACAGGCATACAGTAACCCTTGTGCTCTTTGGCGCGTTGCGCAGGCATACAGTAACCCTTGTGCTCTCTGGCGC